AGGGAATGATTACATTTGTTTAGGGAGACAGAGGCGGTGTATGATGTGCAAAAGAGACCAGCAGCTGAGCCCAGTCTGATGGCGTCTGACCCCATGTCAGTAAGGCACTCTCTGATTCATCGATAGGTTCCAGATGAAGTACACTGACATGATGATGAAGGACATTCTGTGTGATTTGACATGCTTAATGACATGAGTTCTACTACTTAATAAAGATAATCCCGAGAAGCTTTTTAATTGGAAACTTATTTACTGTCAGTCAGGCGTTCTTGCTTCTTTCTTTGTTGCTTGTCGTAATCTAGTTTATTTATTGCCGTTATTTGCCAAAAACAGATTAACCCATAGTTGGCATACAAATCAATTATTGAATAGAAGTGTAGCAACCGGGCCACGCTGAAAATCCATTTGGCACCTGAATCTCATACTCAAGTGGGGCCAAACCGGCCACCTGAAAAAAGCGTTAAGGGTATATTTATGGTAGTATTGTGTAATGGTTATATGTGAATTGTAACGACACTCCGTCACTATATAAAACGAACTCTGTGTTGTTTTGTGTTATAGTTATAGCCTTCTACGTTCACGCAGAGGGCGCACGTGTTAACAGCCGGCTGACATTTAGAAGATTGCGCCATGGCTTTTGTTAATGGAAAAACAATATTGCTGAATCTTACCTAGGAACGCCAGGACTTAAGTGGGCGCCAGGCTTGGCGAAATGCGAAACCTGTATACATACAGTTAGATGTGAGCTACCATTAAGAAATGCCACTGAGTGATTATGTCCACTTTGTAGAACTTGCAGGGATTGGAGGCTAAATGAATGGGTCAACATCATTTCACTTTTTTTTAGTCTTATGTTTTTTTTATAAGAAGTGTAATCTAGTTTTATATGTACAGCGATTCTTGTGAAAGAACCTAACGTATGTAAATCGCCTGAAATGGCAATGTGATTGACCCAGGCCTGTCTGTCAGGTATAAACTTAATTGGTCCTGGTAACTGTTTTCTCATCATTTGAGTACTTAAACATGATGGTTTTATGCTGTCCATAGATGACTTGAGGGCAAAGTCGGTTGATACGACAAAGTCTCAGACGTGAGTTTGGAGAGGTGGAAATGAGTGACAGTGACTCGTGCCCTCATGTCGCAGGTATTCCACTCTGCAGGCAAACAATGTATGCCACGCTCGGTCGTGCACCAGTTCACATGGTCGAATTAAATTGCATGTATTCATGGGTAATTGGCGCGAAGATTGTCTGGTGTGAGCACACATTAACATTGGTTTGGCAGTCTGTGTAAGGGGGCACGTACAACACCGAAACAGTTTAACAAAGGGTTTAAGAAGCCTTGTCAAGATAATGCATTCTTCTCATGCGACATGCGACAGTGCGAAATAAACTAGAGAAGCTGTGGATCAAATATTCAGACTGAAGAAACCAAGGTAAAGAGATACCTTGAGTGTTTGTCTAGGAGGGTGTAGAGCCTATTCTTTCCCCATTTAGTCTGCAGAGGTATTATTAGCTTATGAGCTTATTCTAATTACATCGGCTGCTTATCATGGCGGTATTTAATTACTGGGTTCTTGAACAAGGTAGTCCACCGGACTACCTTGCCTCAAAAAGGGGGTCCGCAGCAAAATGAGGTGGAGTCCCGCATTCTGAAGTTAACATATTGAACAATAACGAGTGGTTTTTTGAAGATTCATGCGGATTGCACGTCTGCCAATTTCTGGTGAAATCTTGCTGAAAAATACGTATTTTGCGTGGGGAATAATAAGGGGTGTGCTCTGGAACCGAACTAGTTAGTAGTGCAGAGTTTCAGGGATCCACACGTGACTCTTACATATGTCATATCGGTGGAGATACGACAGTACAATCACGGGGTATTTGACTCCAGAGCTCACGTTAACTTTATGCCCTGCTGTTGTCAAATTAAATCCTTTTTTTTTATATTACCATTTAATGAGCTAACAACTAATAAGCACTTCCACTTACTCTGTTTCTTTGTTTGCACTGAATGAAATATGATCTAGATTAGCAAACACTTCTTGCTGTCGGGTTACGAGTCTCCTCTTTATTCAGGGCATCCTTCTAGTGAGTTATCAAGCCGTTTAATTTCAGAGTGTGGGAACCGAAGAACCAACAGCACATTTATGGACCATACAGTCTGAAATACGCTGCCCGGACACTCGAGAATCAATTTAATGCCTGTGTAAGCAATGTTAAGCCTCGGCTTTATACTACCGGGGGGAACCTGGACTATATGTTGCGCTCAAATGGCGGAGTTGGAACGAACTTTACAATTCGCCACTCCGTGTTGGCGAAACCCTCCTAGAACATGTTCTAATCTCCCCTAGTTGCTATCGATCGGTTGGGACGCGCAACTTGTTTCTCTTATACTGCTCCGATTGTCGGTTGTATAAATTGGGAAGTTGTCCAATCGCCAATTCGCCACACAAAGTGGATAGCCTGTAAACCAGCTTTAAGGTGTGCTTGCTGCCATATAGCCAGTGCCTCCATGTGCTGTACTGACTCTGCTGTGATGAGCTAATTCACCGTCCTGTTGCTCTTTAGGGCGGAGGAAGCTCCGACGGTAAGCGCACCGACGACACCGTGAGGGAAAAGACTGACGCCACCCCTGGCGCCTGTCGCCAGCCGGCATCAGTGACTACCTAGTGGCCAGCCCCCGCCCCGCCGTTCGTCAATCAGCTGCTCAGAAATGGCAATTGCGGTGTGACAAGTGGGGGCCGCCTTGTGCGCCGCGGCCGCCTCCCGACATCGTAAAACGTGAATGGTTCGAGTGGAGAGGGAGGAGGGGAGAGAGAGAGGGAGAAGTCGCACCAATACAGGGGGACTGGGGAGAAGTTAAATGGTTGACACATCATACACCATAACATCTATACAACCTCATAAATGCCACTTATACAATGTAAGTGCATTATGTAAACAATATCATGTATGATTCTGTTATAGTCACTCTATCACCCATGCTAGGTAAATGATATTACTTTCAAGAGTCCGGCTATTCGAATCAGGCCTTTGCACTAGTTCTCAAGTTAGCGACCCCGCCCCCTCCCCCCCTCCGACGAACTCCTGGTATTTACCAGTATCGTCATTTCGTGTCTAGAGATAACCGATCGAATTTCTGGTTCTAGTCCCCAGCTGCCTATCTTAAACTGGTGAATCGCTCACCCAAATGTGAAATGAATTTAGTTTTGTAGTTTCGTTAATAATTTCTTTGTATGTGCAAGGAGTTTTAAAACAGCGATGACGGTGATGATGACGATGGAAACCGATTTACGGAAACCGCGGAGGAGAACAGTGACCTTTAACCCCAATATGTCAGCCTCCAGTTGTTGATGGCATGACAAAATCACATTTGTGTGGTCCCAAACTATTTTTGATCTAATTTAGTAATTATTTTACGTTTTATGCTGTCCCTTTATTCATATATAATTCCCAATGTTCCTAATATGTTATTCTGACTGAGCTATCTAGATCTTGAGGTATTGTAGCCGTAGGCGTAGGGGATGTTGACAAGAACTTGAACTTTGAAGAAGGTGAGAACGTGTTACGTAACAATACTAACATATTAATTTATTATTAATATTAATATTATTAATTATTATTACGATATAGCATTAACGTATAGTTTATTACGACATTGGCAACTATCAAATGTGTGATTTCGTTTAGGGATATGCAAATGGAGAAAGATGAGAATTTTGCAGATGACGTTGCGAACCTATGCTATCGTCATTATTCTCAGCTGCCAAAGAAAGGAAAGCCATCAGTACCAGGTGTGTGTCTAGGTGCATGAGTGCCTTTTCAATGGGTTACATTAACTAATATTTATACCAAACCTCCCACGTACAGCTTTTGCCAGTGTTTGCATCATGGGTAAGGGCCCTGCTTTTTGGTTATTGTCATATTTCCCTGTTTCAGGTGAGTGGACACTCATGGCTGTCATCGTTCTGACTCATGACGAAAGCCGAAAGATGAGGGTCGTTTCCATGGCAACCGGTTCCAAGTGCCTTGACAGAGACCAGCTGAGTGAGAAGGGTGATACTGTCAGTGACAGTCATGCAGAAGTCTTAGCTCGCCGGGGTCTAGTCAGGTAGGGGTCGGCTGGACTCGAACAGAAATCCATACGTAGCTGTGATGGGGGTAGTGATGATATAGCATGCTACGCTACACAGGTGAGCATACCTCACCCAGACCCCTTTGTTTACTATAAGCAGTTACTATAAATCAATGTGCAATCGGTTTTACTCTCACGTATTCACACGTGCTTGACTCTCAATTCTCCAAATTAATGAGTACATTTAGACGATACTCTGTAGATTAACGAGATCTATGTGTAGTAGGCACATGTCGGTCTAACGTTTACTTACTCTTTTCTTCGCATTAGTGCATGCAGATGGAAAGTAAGGTAGTAAAGAAAGTAGATGTAATAGAAAGGGATTGGTCTTGCCCACAGATGCTGACCTTTCTCATTTTGCAGGTTCCTCATACAGGAGGTGGGTGACCTGTTGGATGGGAAGTGCGATGGAATCTTGGAAGAGGTCAGCGCACGACCTTTCAAGGTCAGGTTGAAGGATGGCGTCGGCTTCCACCTGTTCGCAACCCACACGCCCTGCGGCGATGCATCCGTCTTCCCGAAGGAGCAGGAAGCTGCCGGTGGCGCCGACACGGTAACCGTGGCAACGCCCGCGAAGCGCGGACCCTCGTCGGAGTCGGCCGCCGCGAAGAAACGTCGCCGCATCGAGACGGATGTTACCCCGCCGAATTCGGATGCTATAGTGGCGCCGCTTGCCAGTGATGGAGGTACCGACAGATGCCACGGGCACAACGGATTCAGCATCGACACGGCGGCGTCCTCTGTCAACGGTTGTAAAACGCGCGGCGAATTCCAAGCGGAGATTAAGGCTGACACCGTAACCACGACAACGCCGCGGGGCGAGGATGCCATCGAGGACGCCGGCGAGAGAGACGTGGCGCCCTCAGATATCCATCGCACGGGCGCGAAGTGCGTCCCGGGCGGCGCGCAGGACGCGAGGGTGCCAGGGGTCGGCTACCACATGACGGGTGCGTTACGCACGAAGCCTGGGCGATCGCGCGGCAAGGGGACCGTCTCCATGTCGTGCAGCGACAAGCTCGCGCGCTGGAACGTGCTCGGCCTCCAGGGGGCGCTACTCTCGCTTGTCATGCCTATTAACGTCAATATATACGAGGTCTCCTAACCCTAGCAAGGAGACTCTTGTTTCTTGGAGCTATGGCATAGGTCACATTAGGTGAGAAATTGATCACTTCCTAATCGGATCTGGCACCACTTTACTTTAGTTTAGGTTTAGTATCCATAAAACGACCGTAGATAATAATAATGACTTATGCACAATGAGTAGGCCTATGTATCATTTTCGCTAACAATATTATTGCGTTAAGCTTACATTTCACGCCAAAAATATCGAAGTATCAAACCATATGGAACATCAACACACTAATGAAGCAAGCTGCTGACTGCTGTCGATTGCCGATGGCAGCACTGTTCGTGCTGTGCGCTACAAAACAAGTGATCACAGGTCAACTAACTTCTGCTGGCAACAACACTTTCTGCTGAGCAAAAGGTCTTTGTCTAATAAATATGCGAGCTGGACTTAACGACTGCTGGAGCTGGAATTTAACGACTTGAAAGAGAAGCTGAAAAAAGAAATGCGCGGGTTTCTGGTAGAAAGGCTGAGATAATAGAGGGAGCGGAGCTCTACACTCTAGTCTAGAGTAGAGCTAGAGTCTAGACTACGAGAGCTACTAATACTATACCTGATAACCTCACTGTCCTCTCAGTACCTGATATTACTAGTGATAGTGATACTATCAGGAGTAGATAATAGGAAATTCCCCATTATCTACTTTTGATATTATCATAGAAATAATATAGATAACCATATGGTTACCTATATTATTCTATGCATATTATGCTCACTTTATAATTATTTTTTACACTAGATGGCGCCAACGCATCAAATTTGCCCATGACATCATTTCCTAATGCGTACGACGTCATAACCGAGATACAGACAGAAACATGCGCAAAACTCTCGATCCAAGAAATAGTTTTCACGGAAATTAAAAAAATTTCTTATGTGAAGAATATATTCTTATTTTTTATTAGTTTTGTAGTTTCGTTAATAATTTCTTTGTATGTGCAAGGGGTTTTAAAACAGCGACGAAGCGAATGTAAGATATGAATATAGGTGGAGGCCAAGATTGCAAAGTGATTGGAGAGTCAAACGACAACGACATGGGCCACAGGGCCAACAACGGATTCAAGCAAAAAAAAAAAATCCGAACGACGCCCGCGGCGTCCTCTGTCAACGGTTCGTTAAAACGGCGCAGGCCGAAATTCCAAGCGGAGAAATTAAGGACCTGACAGCCGTAACCCGACAACGCCGGGCGGGGCCGAGGATCGCCATCGAGGACGGCCGGCGAGGAGAGACGCTGCGCGGCCCTCAGCCATTATTTGCCATGCGCACGTGCGCCGAAGTGCGTCCCCGGGCGCGCGCAGCGAGCGAAGGGTGCCAGGGGGTCGGACTAACCCGACGTGACGGGTGCGTTACGCAGCATCACACGAAGCCTGGGCGACTCGGCCGCGGCGACGGGGACCGTCTCCATTGTCGTTTGCAGCGACAACTTCGCTTTGCGCGTGAGAACGTGCTGCAGCCTAACCAGGGGCGCTTACTCTCGCTTTGTTCATGCCGCCCGCTGGTACGGCCTGCGCACGTCATCCGTGAATTGGTCGCTGCGGCCTAACGGAGCGAAGGGGCGGCTGCAAGCGCCGGCGGCCTTTCGAGCGGAACGCGCGTCCGTTGCTTTGGTCTCCCGCCGTGGGGTACGCTGTCGTGCCGTGGGGGCGGCCGGTGATGCGGCAGGAGCCGGCGCGTCGCGGTATACCCGCCTGCAGCGGGCCGGCGGGGTAGCGGAGCACCGCGGGACGCCGGGGCTCGGCGCTGGCGCGGCGACCCCGGCCCCGCCAGCCCGCCCCTCTCCTGGGTGGCGATGTGCGGGCGAGACACGGGCTCCACTGCCAGCCGGGCACCCATCAAGGCCGCTCGTCACTCCCCTAAACTTCCACCCATTGCGAACCGTCCTCTGTCCGACGAGCGTCGGCAGGAGCTTCACGGCGGCAAGTCCGCGCGCGATTCAAACCAGCGGGCGCGGTTGCGGGCGTGTGTCCCCTGCAGGCCTCCACCTCCGCCCCTAAGGATGTTCGGACCAGTTCCTCACGGCGCAATCAGGGAAGTTCGCGGAGAGGCCCGCCACCGAGCGATCGTCGCGTAGACGTCCCAGGGGGCGATGCTGGAGGCAGGCATGTTTACGACAAGTACAAGATGGCAGCTACTGACTACCAGCACGCGAAAGTACAGTTCTTGGCGGTGTTTGATGGCTGGCAAATAAAACCGGAACGTTATGACATTTTCACGTGTGAGGAGAGCTATAACTCCTAATTATTGCCTCGAATGCCCGTGTCCTTCAGGCCGTCATAGTGCCTCGTTATCACATTCGCTAGTACATTTCTAACTTTATTAAGTTCCACTGGTTTGATAGGGAACCGTTGGCTAATGGTTAATGCTTTCGGCTCCAGTGATAGAAGCAGTTGTGGGTGGCAGTTAAATGT